AAGAAGTAAAAAAAAATACAAGTCCTTAAGGCAATCAATTTATCGAAGTCCAATATTGTACTGATAACTTTGAAAAAATAAATGTTTAGTCGTTCTCGACAATCATGGCTAAGTAGTCGAATATGGGCTAGTTTAATAAATATGTAGGTACGTTATTTCACTTCTCACTTTTGCAGAGCCGTCTTGTCCAACAAATGAAGAGTTCGTGCCATGCATACAAGAGGTTTGCAGAGCCATGAAATGTGGACAAAAAGACGAAGATGTGCCTTGCCCTGAAGTTCCTGAAGATGAATGTGATAGTGGCTGTATTTGTAAGGAAAATTATTTAAGAGCAGAAAACGGCACTTGTGTTCCTGAGGATACTTGTGAAGATGAGGAGCAGACAGGTAATAAAGATTTTAAATTTGCCAGACTAATTTCAATAATGACGATGAAAATAATTTTAACCAAAAAAATATTTCGAGACAATTTATAGTTTTTGTTTTTCATTTAAGCGGTATCTTGTCCACCTAATGAGCAATTTTCAACGTGCTCTCAAGCTGCGTGTAGAGCACTGGACTGTAAGGACAGAGGTAAACCAATAGCTTGCCCAATGATCCTCGAAGGTTCTTGTATAAAGGAATGCATCTGTGTATCTGGTTACCTTCGAACTGAAAGCGGTGAATGTGTACCTGAGGAACAATGTCCTGGTAAGTTGTGATTTTGAAGCATGTTCTGTAATATCATCATTATCACCAGCCTGTGGGAATCCACTGCTGTACTGACCACTCGTAACACCATAGTTTATATGGAAATCAAGATTATTGTTGAAAAGTCTTGCATTTACAATGTAAGTATTATAATATAATTATGTTTTTTCCAGCTCCAACCTGCGTTGAGAACGAAGTACTACAAAACTGTTCCCAATATTGCACTTCTGACTACTGCCCGTACTCAGCGGATCAGCAGCAGGAATGCTACCCACCTTTTGGTCCAGTTTCTTGTGTACCTAAGTGTAAATGTAGGTTTAATTACAGAAGAAGTAACAATGGAACGTGTATACCGACTAGAAGTTGCCGTAAGTTTACATAAAATTATTTTTTTTCTCCATCAAATTGATCAGATTGAATATTTTGTATTCCTGTCTTGAAAAATTGCCTTTGCCTTAGGAGTAGAATATATCAAAATGTTTCATCTTTAAAAAATATAGTAAACCACATATTGTCAGTATTAAGATGAGTGTAAAAAACCTTTTAGATTGAAATTATAGCGATTTTCCATAATTTTGTTGTTTTTTAATATGTTCTCATTGTTCATCTTATTTTAGCTCCCTTCGACTGCAGTGACAGACCCAATGAAGAGTATAATCCTTGCCCTCCGATTTGTCCATCTGACGCTTGTGGTAAACCTAGGCTCACTGGTCGCTGTCCATTCAGCATCAAAATAGTCCTAAACTGCCAGCCAAAATGCCAATGTAAGGACGGATACGGCAGGGTCAATGGAACTTGCGTACCATTTGAAGAATGTCGTAAGTGTCTATTAAATAACTTATTGACGATAAGACTAAGGTATAATTTGTTGTACAACCTCCAAATGATGCTAATGTAGGTCCTGCTTGTCTAATCAATATAGCTGTCAAAAGTGTTGTGTTTTATGGAATAACACTAATAAATTCTATATTGGACAACTTACATTACGTAGGCACAGACCTTAGTTCTTAACAGGTTGATAGCGTCTTTTGTGCTACATTCATATGCAACAGTTAATTAAAGTTACTGGACATTCAGTATTTTGCTTAAAAAAAATATAAATTGGACTGATCACCATTATCTAACACAGTAAATGAATAAAAATCATTAAAAGAACAAGCATTGAAATATCAATACTTCATTTTTTCCACAGCTGACCTCTGCCCCACCAATGAGGAGTACTCCCCGTGCATACAAAGAACATGTCGACCACAGAACTGCTCCAACCGTAACACCACCATGGAAAGCTGTTCTACATGCGATGATACTAAATGTCAGCGAGGATGTGTCTGCAAGGAGAATTACTACAGGAATGATAAAGGAGTCTGTGTTCCTTCTAAAGAATGTGAGGACAAAAAAGGTACAATTTCTATTCAATAATTTATTTAAACCTGTATCTGGCAAGGCCCTCCTCTGAAGACAAGACTTCTCCCTTAAGACCCATGTTGCATTGGGATAAATAGCATATATTATTCCAAATCATAATATATCTCTGTCCGAAAGTTGATTAGTTAGACTGCACGGTTGGCGCTGTAGCTGGTTAACTGGTTGCCGTGCAACCATTCCCTTATTATTCCCGCAAGGAACAACTCTGAGTGTGATCCACAAATTATTGTTTCGGGTCTGGGTGTAATGTGTATGTGAGCTTGTATGTTTGGAAACGTACCCACGATATAGGAGAAAATCCTAATGTGGGGCATGTTCTTTAAACTGTCAAATACCAAGCGGTCACCGGTGACCGCAACCTATTGTTCTATAATTGTGTCTACAAAACCGGTACTTGACGAGTTAAAAAAAAGAAAATAAGTTGATCCTGATCTCATCTACCGTTTTGACTTTCTTGATACAAAAACTCACACACTTTGACATTAATAATAAGTAACATTAAAACAGTTTTTAATGGATAAATAGTTGGTCAAGTAAGTGCGACTGCTAAACAAGGGATCTAAGGTCGGACCCCTCGGAATCGGCTTGTTCCCAAGGTTTAAAATAAATTGTTTCAACTTTTCAATTCGATAAATAATTAAAAATATAATCATACTCTCGTCCATTGATTTGACAATTTACCTACTTTTGGACTTTTTCTCGCAAATTTTAAAGAAATAAGTATGCTATTTGACGCAGAAATATGATGACGTCATAAGTAGCGATCCAATACTAAATTCATAGAAAAGTATAGTTTTTGACGTTTCAATTATTGTATAATCTCTCTCGTAAATCTAAATGTTATAGTTTCAATGTAGCTTTTCGGTGTTTCGAAGATTTCTCAGTAGTAGCACATGTTTAGAATAGTATTCCGTATTACTCTTCATATTACTTTATGAACATAACAATATACACTCCCTTGGAAATTAAAAGACATTAGGTACATTATGTTAAAAGTCAGAAGATAATCTTTGTTGAAATATTCTTCACAGATACCTGTACCGGCCCAAATGAGCACCACACAACGGAATTGAGAACCTGCCCTCCTAACATCTGCCAATCACTAGTCGCTAGGTACAAATGTGACTCCACGGAGCGACCGCAGTCAGGCTGCATTTGTGACTCCGGCTATTTAAGACGAAACTTGACATCACCCTGTATACCAATATGTGAGTGCCCAGAAATGGCTAGCTCACCTGATTGTCAGAAATAAACTTTTGTTAGTTTTTTGTTAAGAGTTGTATCGTTTAATTCGTCTTTTGGTTTTCTTTGTTCTGCTTATGTATTACATGGTAGTGATTGCTCTCATCAGCTAGTATTATACTAGCAGTTGCATAAGCATAAGCAAAAAATTCGTCAGCGTAGAATATTAATTTTAGGACCCCTTTCTTTCCTTTCACTTTTTTTCAATAAAACTATTATATGTTACTCCTTAGTACATCAGCTACCTGGCAATAAAATTCCCGTCAAAATTAGTCCAGCCATTTCAAAGAAGAGCCAGTATAAACAAGCAAACAGACAGTCAAACAAAAATTAAAAAAAAAATTTTGCTATGTGTATCGTATATTCATATGCATGTAGTAAAAATCGGTTATTTTAATATTAAAAACAGTCACTCCAATTTTATTTATCTTCGGGCAACCTAACATTCGACCAACTTATATTTAATTGCGTTTGGTACAGTAACGGCGTTTAGGGATTTAAGCGCACAATTAAGTTTGATTTTTCGTGTATAAACTTTTTCACGATAAAAAGTAGAGACCCAGTGTTGTGCGCAGGATATTAACACGTTCACTGTGCTTGACCCACGGGTGGGGCATATCGAGTTGCTCATTGTACGTGCATGACCCATCGGTGGGGCATGCCTCTACGAGATTATTCGTGCATGCCACACGAATGGGGCTTACATTTACTAGATCATACGTGTATGACCCACGGGTGAGTCAATAAATAAAAATATTATTTATAACAAAAATTAAAAACAATGCTATTATAATATTAGTTTTATAACTCACGCAGTATATTATCAACAATTTGCATTTACACTTATGGTGGTAGCGTCGCTCATCATAGCTGCACAGTCAACGTGGTTAAAGTATAATCATACCAAATTTCATCTTGATCGGACCGATAGTTTTAACGTGCTGCGTTTTTACATACAGACAGACAGACAAAAAATGTTTTTAATCTATTACTACTATTTATTTTTTTAATATTTTTAAAGTACAGAAATTACAGTTCTACAGTTTTATTATAATAATATGTTTAGATATAGATTAGGTAATTTAAATTCTTAACCTAAACTACATGCTTGAATAGACTGTTATCCTGCAAAAATGTGGGGCGTCGGGAGCAATGAACGAGACGTGTAGTTCTTATGAATTACTTTAATAAATTGTCTTATGCTAAAGCTACATATACTTAGGTTCCTTCTATGCCTTATCCTACTCCGAATGTATCAGTCAGACGTCAAGAACACACATGATGTTCAGTAAAATCGCCTAGAATGGTCGCCATCTTCAATGTACTTGCTTATTTCTAAAGAATATTTAATAAGTTGCATCATGCATGAGGATGCTGGTTCGAAACCCACCAACAGCAAGTACCAATGTGACCTTTTCTGAGTTATATGTACTTTTTAAGATTATTTAGACACCACAGACAAACGGTGAAGGAAATCATTGCGAGGAAACCTGGGCTTATTATTTCTAATTATAGAGGTAAGTCTGAAATCGCGAACCCGTATTGGGCAAGCGTGGTGATTAATGCTCAAACCTTCCCCGTTTAAGACGAGGCCTTTGGTCGGAAGTGAACATTTATAGGCTGTTGATGATGAATGATGATGATTTAATAAGTCTTATTCGTCCCAAGAAAAAATCCAAAGCCCGGACACTCCTTACACTTAAAAGTAGTGGTGTTCGCGTCGTTAATAAACTTAAATGGTTTAGAACAGAAGGTAATCCCCATAAAATTTAAGCGACGTTTTCGAGCGTTTTTTCTACCTGTGGACCAAACAAATTAGTCAAGGACTACGAATAACTGACTTTTCTCTAATACCTATATTCTTACGACTAAAGAGGTTTTAGATAACATAATATTGTACATTGTACCTACATGGTAAATAAACTAGCAACGGTTGATATTACGGTCAAAATTAATTGGATTGGAGTGTTACTATGTACCTACCTATTACTATTGGAGCAATATTTCTTAAGGGGGGAAATTCATCAACTTCTCCCGCCTTTGGTGAGGCGAGTGCCAGACTCTTAATGACTAAAAAACCACTCCGTTCCTACTCCTGCTCTTCGAGCCGAAGCTTCGGTACCCCGTTAAGTTCTCCGCGGTTCCGCATTGGGAATCAGCTCTATTGGGCCCTATCTATAGTAGTTTGATGGCTCTTTGACCGCACGCGGAATGGGACTGTAATGGATACATTGTGTAATTACTCTCGTTATGAATAAAAGATAAAGCGGTTTGGCAATAATTATATACGTCAGGGGTTTTTAAACCAATAGATAATATTTATTCGTCGATAAAATAAAATTGACGTTCGACAGTTTTATAATGGAATATCAAAAATTCAAAATTATTGAATATATAATTACTGATAAAGTTATTCCACGTTGAAATAATCAGCCCTTTGTAAAATAAACTTACTAGGTGTAGTGAGCTTGTCGTTATCTTGCGAGTTTCTCAGTTGAGGACTATCCGTTGTTGGGGCTTTGAAACCTGTCGACCAAAAGTGCACTTGTTAACATAATATAACATCACGGCTTTTATCCCCGAAGGGGTAGGCAGAGGTGCATTATGCCGCTGTACAATGTAACAACCCACTTTTCACTATTTATGTTATGAGTCCCATGTATTAGGGGGTGAGCCTATTGCCATATACCGGGCACAATTCCAGGCTCCGTGCTACTACTGAGAATTCTTAAAAACCCAGTATTACTTTGCCCGACCCAGGAATCGAACCTGAGACCTCTGGCCCGGCAGTCGCTCTTGCGACCACTCGGCCAACGAGGCAGTCTTGTTAAACGTACTATTTAGAATTTATTATTTCTAGACCTGATTACTAATGATATAAAGATAGTAAATATATATAGAATGGTCTGTAAAACCTAATCTAGCTGCGTCACATGTGTCTACGCCGATGAATACCAGGTTCTTATAACTTGGACAAGCAATATCGTCAACCCCTATTTTGCAAGATGGCCAACCGCGACCAAAATAAACTATTGATGCAAAAAATTGTGTGATAGTCATAATAAATGTATTTTGAGCAGGATTTTAGTTGCGATGACACGATTTCAACAATAAACAAAGCTATACTTACATTCTGGTTCAGGTATACAGGTCCCATAGTCGTTTCTGGCGAATCCCTCATCACAGTAACAGGCGTGCACGCATTTATTGTTTCCAATGGGGCACACATCGCCCAGCGTGGCACAAGTTGTTTGACACGCACTGCCACACTCGTAGTGCTCATTTTTACGTCTACATGTCAAGTCTGGCGTATATGTAAAACAGTAATTTACATATACTGCTACAAAGAGAAGAAAATACTTCACTGTCATTTTAAAATTTATGTTTTAGTGTGGTAATTTTATACTCAATACTTTCAGAACATATATATGATTAATGTAAAACACTATAGTTTTAAAAAGACCACAGTTCACGACGTCTCCTGATCACGAATGATCCTTTTCCCTTCAGAGGAAAGCTATAAAAGTATATTTATATAAACACGCATAAATAATATAACACAATTCAATGGATCGAGGAGAACAGATATTTTTTTACAAAAGAACAAACGTGAGATATTATGAATTATTTTATTGTTAAATGTTTATTGTTGTTACTAACAATATATAAGCATTCCTTTAGGTATGTGATAGAACATATACCTTTAAATAATTGACATAACTGGTAAATTATCTTTACTATATAAAAATAAGTTGGGTTTTCCTTCCTGACGCTATAACTCCAGAACGCACGAACCTATTTCCACGGTTTTGCATTCGTCGGAAAGGTCTCGGGCTCCATGAGGTTTATAGCAAAGAACGAAGCCATCTGGTGGCGAAACGGAGTTTGCCGGGTATGTTAGTATTAGTATAATTTAGTAGACACATGAACCTATAAAAATATGTATGCATTAATAGCGGTAACAGCGGCTTAGTAACAATATTACAGTACCAAGCGTCATACCGTTGAGTTAAAGCACACGATACCCTATACAAGTTTAATCATAATAATTACTGTAGCAGTCAAAAATTTTACATCTAAATGGTGTGACACAAATAGTCGACAGTAGATAGTTGACAGATAGTAAAATTCAATACTATTATTGAAATGTCAAAAACGATACTTTTCTATGAATTTTGTATTGGATCGCCATTTATGACGTCATCATATTTCAGCGTCAAATAGCACACATAATTTCTTAAAATTATCGATAATAAATCCAAAAGTAGGTAAATAGTCAAATCAATGGATGAGAGTATGATTATTTTTTAATTATTTATTGCATTGAAAAGTTGAAACTATTTATTTTAATTAAACCTAGGAGACTAACCAATTCTCTATCGGTCAATGTACCTTAATTCTGGCTAAGTGTTCTGCCCTTAGCGATACATTCATACGATACACGTATGATTCGACATGATGGCACGGTGTAAACGAGTCTTGCTTAAAAGATATGTTTTCTTTAATGGGAAATGTCTGTCGCGATCTAGCAAAACCGTTGTAACTCCAGTAAGCCATGGCTCGACCGGAGTGATACCACGGCCTCACAGAAAACCGACGTGAAGCAACGCTTGCGTTGTGTTTCGTCGTGTCAGTGAGGTTACCGGAGGCCCAATTGCCCTCCCCTTCCCCAATCTCCATAATCCCTGAATCCCCAACGATCCTCAAACTCCTAATCCCCAAAAGGCCGTAACGCACTTGTAACGCCTCTTGTGTTCCAGGTGATCCGTCTGCTCGTTTACTGGCTTGTACTTATATCATAATAAAAAAAGATACTCGTTCGGATATCTTTCATTTCAATATTTCATTTTCTATTCAATTGAACTTTGCCTCGCCAATAAGGAGTATACTTTCCAAGATTCTATCAACTGCTTACTGCATCCGGATATGAGTGACTGACTGACTGACTAGGGATTCCTGATTTCATTCGTGAGTCGGGTAAAAACATATTATTATATAATAACTATCGTCACGTAAATATACTGAAAAAAAATTCTAACACTTTCGAGTCACAGAGGGATTCTCCCGGTCGCAGCAATGTCATTAGGCAGCGCGACATTGAACATCACAGAGTCTTTAAGGGGGGAAAATCATCGAATGACTGCTCCCGCCTGGGTGAGGTGGGAGGGAGTGTCAGACTCTTAGTGACTAAAAACCACCCCTTTTCTTCTCCTGCACGTCGAGCCGGAGCTCCGGTAACCCGTTAGGTTCTGCGCGACTCCGGATCAACATCACAGAGTCTGGAAGCATGTCTGGTATATGGCAATAGCCTCGCCTCCTTTATGGGGCTCATATATTGTAGTTATGTATTGTGTATTTCTATCTACCCATTTCAGGGATTAAAAGGCTTGACATTAAGCTCAATGTTTATATTTTAATTGCCAGAACACAATGATTATAAAAATGTTTTAATGGAACAAGCCCGCCGCATCCTCCGGAAATCGGTGCAACTCTTGTAAGCCAGGATCTAGAGGTACAGTAGATACAACCATGAACCCGACTGAAGACTGAAGACTGAAGCCCGGCCCGTCTCAAGGACATGAATAACTGTCTTGGTTCCCGCAATAATAAATCAGTAGATATTATAAGAAGAGAAGAAAAAAAGGATAATTTCAGACTGAAGGGAGTATCAGACTCTTACTGACTAAAAACCACCACGTTCCTACTCCTGCACTTCGAGCCGGAGCCCCGGTAACCCGTTAGGTTCTCCGTGGCTCCGTATCGGCATCAGCCGTATTGGGCCCTTTTCGTGGTAAGAATAAATTAAGCCTAAAGGCACAAAAAGAGACTGTACAACTAGGAGAAGCCCAGTCGCCGAGCACCACAGAAATTTTACTTAAAACTAAGTGGGTCCTATATGTGGGCTGTTATATCTGAATATGAACTCTGAAAATTTGTTGTATCGGCTATAAAAAAAGCTGGGCAACAGGAGACCTCATCAATATCTATCAGTCATAATTGGCTACTAAGTGGCTACCTGGCTAGGTACAAACACAACACATTATAATTACTTTAATACCCGCTCTCGTTAAAAACTAATTAAACTTTATATTATAATTATTGTAGAAATAAAATACTGGTTTCTGTTGTGAGTTGTCATGCAATTAAGTAGTTTATATCCAAATGCAGAACTTGCAGTTTTAATTAACCCGTCGTCGTGTCTAAACGTGGATCCATGTGAGACACAATGTACCTATTTTCTATTGTGTCTCATATACAGGCATTCAAACGGTTAAACTTTATTACTAGGTACCTATAATTATGATAACACATTCTTTGGAGTCATCAAAGTGAGAAGACGCCCACTGCTGAACAAAAGCATCTCCAAAAGAGGTCCTTTTACAGAACTGGTAGCCTTGGGGACTAGGGGTTAAGTTTTACATATTTGTAGGGACAGGAGTTATCATGTGAAAACAAAATACAAAAAATAGAAAATAATAAACATTTTTTTTGTATTTATTATACTTTTATTAAGTCATCGACACATAAAATAGACAGTTTTTCCTCATCCTAACTCCAAACATTCAAACCTCAATGGATTTTCGACTATAATGTTAAACAATAAATATTTATATTATAACTTTCGTAAAACATACTAAATAAATTATTATGTTTTCGGCTTACTCACGTAATAATTTGACGAGAAACTCGACTAGTTTCAAGCCATGCTAGAGGTTCATATTAATGAGCAGCATTTCGCGACCCACGACGCAGCGACAGTCGCGCTGCTTCTGTTTCTGCTGCTTCTAGCATGACTTGAAACTAGTCGAATTCTTCGTCAAATAATTACGTGAGTAAGCCGAAAACATAATAATTTACAAAACAATAATGTTTTAAAATTAACGAAATATAACAGGCTGAACTTGTTTCTTAAACTGAGCCAGATAATTTATTATGTAAATAAGAAAATAAAGATTGATTCAGTACAGAGATAGTAGTTCTGTTGTAATAATAAATTGTAGGCTTTTTACTGAAGTCAAGTCGGTATTAGTTCATTGAATTTTTAGCAAACAAGATGAAATTTTAAATCAATATCAGCTATTAATTTTGGCTGTCAATAGCCAATCGAAGGTTGCTGTTCCTGCTAGCCTATTCGCGGTAACTGTCAATTCGAACCTTCAAAGTGCGCTCGATCGCGTTCTCGTCCGTCATTGGTCGAGATTTCTCACCACCAATAACATGACGGACCGTGATCGAGTTCACTGCGGTCTATCTTTTCAAGTTACAGAATACCCCAGCTGTACTGAATTAATCTTACATATTTTTTTACTTAAATAGCTCGACTGACTATGAAAGACGTGAATAAATAAATAATAAATACATTTATAGAACTTTATATTATATTTTGGTACGATCCTGGACCTCACATTAGGACTCCCTGTGTCGTGAGGCCCATATCTTTAGTATAAACGCTAAACTATGATTGTGGAGCATTCTTCATCTCCATGCACTCTCGTATCGGTATACAGGGTGTGTCAGCTTTCTGTCGAAGGTACCCTGATTGGCAGACACATCCCTTCTTGCAGGGCTCGGAGCCATCACATTTGAACTTCGCCACGAGAGACAAGCAGGTGTTTGGAGGACAGTCCTTGTAACAATCTGTGTAGACTTCGAACTCTCCGGGACAGATGGATGCTAGAAATATAAATTTCAAGATCAGAATGTATTAACACGTTAACTGCCACGTAGATCATGTCATAGCGGAGGATTTTCCTCTAACAGTTTACAACAGTTAAGCATCAACATTCATTTGATGATATGTTATAGGTACCTATACGTGTGTCCCATATACACATAGGTATGATATGGGTCCCTGTCATATATCGAGAGCAAAGTATTGCTCTCGATATATCTAGTAAGATTCAGAGCTACTATTGATACTTCTAATAACTTAAGGGGTCTATCAATAATGACTGATCCAGGTATCGAACCCATGACCACTTTCACTAATTAAAAGTTTCATACAAAAGACCTACACAAAAAAGTTAATCGTTGTTGAAATTTAGTAAAGGTGTTGTTTACAATTATTTTAATCCAATTAAGTACGAATATAAAAATAACAAGATCATTAATTTGTTTCTGTATATTGGGTGCAATTATGTTATCTGGTTAGTGATAAACAATTTCACCAATTATTGCATTCCGGTTTCAAGAGTGAACGTCTTATCAATGTCGTTATATATATGTACTTTTTTTTAGTAAAAAGTGCCCCATACTAGGGTCTCCTCCTGTGTCGTAGGTGCGATTACAAACATACAAGTTCACATACACAATGAGACCCAGGCCCGGAACAACAATTTGTGGATCACACAAAAAGTTGTTCCGTGCGGGAATCGAACCCGCGACACGTTGCACGACAGCCGGTTTCCCAGCCACCGCACCAACTGTGCAGTCAAACTTTGTAAGCCCTGTAACTGTAACACAGCTTTGACGTTATTTCATTATTTTAGACAATATAAGAGTAGACAAGTTTATCCATAAACTACGATTAATATAAAATAGTTCGATTACATTAGCAGTAAATACAATACTTAAAATTACGTTAATCCTAAATTACCTACTGGTTGTAGGAAAAACAAATCAGTTGAATGACTTTAAATAATAAACTCACCTGGTTTCTTGTGTGCACGACGTTCTCGAGAGCGTCGTGGACCTGTGAAATAAATGATATAGTCAGTGGATAGATGACATAACATATAACATTACATTACGCCTTTTACCCCCGAAGGGGTAGGCAGCGGCACATTACTGCACTTAATGCCACTGTACAATGTAACACCCACTTTTCACTATTCAGTCATGTTATGAGTCCCATGTAATAGTCGCACCCCCTATTACATGGGACTCATAACATAAATTGTGAAAAGTGGGGCTTATATTGTGCAGTGGCATTAAGTGCCGTAACGTGCAAAGGGTAGGCAGCACCCCTTCGGGTATAAACGGAATGTTATACAATTTTTCATCATAATAGGTATCTCAATGAAATGTACATGTTAGGAGTAATGGGTTATAAAGAACATGGTAGGTTAGTATAGGTATTAGGATGAAAAAAGGTCAGTCTGTATATAATATAAACTTACAATGTTTAGTACGATTCTTGTTAGTTTGCGTGTCTCTGTAGACGTATTTGTGGGGTTCCGAAACCTGTAACATCAACAGCCTATAATTCCCACTGAGCAAAGCCTCTTCTCGCACGGAGAAGTTTTGAGTAAAAATCAGCATGCATATCATGTTATGTTCATGTGTTTAAGTGTTTCAATTGGCTGCCGTGTCGGACAATGATGTCCGTCGGACATCCCTCTAGCTGAGGATTACCCTTTAACAGATTTTTGTCGGCAGTTAAAGGCTCAAGAAAGGACATTGCTCTGCGTCCAAACACGGTCCTGGAGCCAAGAGTATCGGAGAATTATGTATTGTATTCCCTATCATTTGTAGAAGCCTAGAAGATCTTGTTTTTATAGCGGACTACCTGCAGAAATTATTTCAAAAAAGCATCAGATTGTGAGGTTATCTAACCATAACGATGAATATTTGAACGAATGTTGAATGTTTGAATGATTGTATAGATGCAAAGAAGTTTTGATTATTGATTAATATTATTGTAATATTATTACGATGATTATTATTTACTAGCTTTTACCCGCGGCTTCGCTGGCGTCACAAAATTATAAAAAGTAACCAATATGACATATACCAATACACACAGTACCATCTATACCCATACTTTTGTTTTTCCTCGGGAATATCAATCAACAATACAAAGTACCTTATTATTTAATCCGTACTTCTATCTTTACGTCTGCAAAAATTTAAAGCAATCGGTTTAGTAGTTACGGCGTGAAAACGGAACAAACAAAGAAACTCACTTTCCGATTTATAATATTAGTAAGGATTACATTAGGCGAAGGCATTTGACATTAAGTCGAAGATGGCGACATAATGTTAGAAATTGCGTTAAATTAAATACTTAAAAATACTTCTGTATCACGGACTAGCTGTAGCTATTATTTGCAACTTATATAATAACATAGGGGATTAATTATCGTATATTCTGATACTCTTTATTACACAGGGCCATTTTGGACATTGTCCTTTGTCTATAGAAATAACCTGTCCTAGAATTAGTAATATTGTTAGTGCTCCTCTCGCCTGTGACACAGGATAATCTTCCTAGCACAGGCGTTCAAACTTGGTGAAATCTCTGATTTTAAATTAAGATGTTTATCTGTATTAAGACTAATTTATTTTAAAGAATAAAGATTTTTACATAACATAACATAACATCACGCCTTTTATCCCCGAAGGGGTAGGCAGAGGTGTACATTATACCACTGTACAATATAACACCCACTTTTCACTATTTATGTTATGAATCCCATTTAATAGGGGGTGAGCCTATTATTGCCATATACCGGGTAAAAAATAAAGATTTTTACTTTTTTATTTTTCTTACTGAAAATCGCACTCATGTCAAAAATCGATCGTAATCTAAAAATTTAAGAATTAACTATCGGTTATCGAAATCGGCAGTAGGTATGATCCAGTCATCTCCGCGGCCAGAATGAGTAACCTGTGAAGTGTCAGTATGCGGATCCGTGCGAGACACAATAAGTTTTCTATTGTCTCATATATTGGCATCTAAAAGGTTAATGCTAAGTTTAATTTAGTTGTAATAATAAATGTATTGTTAACAGAGTTTTAATTGTAAGGCATATTTATCAAAGCTACTTATTATACGTACATTCTCCTTCAGGTATGCAGATCCCATTATCATCTCTAGCGAATCCTTCATCACAGTAACATGCATCATTACACCTAATGTTGACAATAGGGCACACAGTGCCCAGCGTGGCACAAGTTGTTTGACACGCACTGCCACACTCATAGTGTTCATTTTCCCGATCACATACCAATCCTGCAGATGTTACATAATTTACACTTATTGTTACACAAAGAAGAAAAAGTTTCACTGACATTTTTGAAATCATGTTTTTAACTAGTGAATTGACACTCGAATTAATACGATATTAAAATAACCACAGATCACGACGTCTCGTGGCTACGAATGATCTCTTATTAAGACAAAACAAACGAACAAAAAATATATATAGGTACTTAAACAAGCATTAGTAACAGAATTACGTCATAGAGGTAGTATGAGGAAAAACAGGTACTTCTTGTTAACATGACACGCAATTAATTATTTCCTTACCTACAGCCTTATCAACAATATACACATGCCCTACACATTGGAAATAATAACATTTAGGTCCATACTAATAAAATAATATTTAACATGTAAAGGAAAAGTACCTAAGCAAAAGCAAAAGTAGCACCTTTAAAATAAAGCCTCACGTCTAAACAAAAATATTATGTAAAACTAAGAGTTAACTTACTAGGCTGAGGAGTTCTCAGTTTCTTATTTACTGGACCTGTGTATAAAACAATTATTAATTGTTAGCATTTTGGACCGTTGTAAAGATGAAAGCAAAATCTAGCATTCACGAAAGAAAAACAAAAATTCAGTATTTTTAAAAGCAAAGAGTATAAAATAAGGTATCATACAAAATTAATCTTTATGAAATAAAGACAGTATCTACACAATATTAAATATGTTACACAATATACATACATAGTGGTATAGGTATACATCTTCCTCTGGAGTTTCGTGCAAATCCCAAGTCACAGTAACAACCCTCATGGCAGTTAACGTTGGGAATGGGACACACGATGCCCAACGCGGCACAAGTTTTTTGACAAACGCTACCACACTCATAGTGCTCATTTCGACGTTTACATACTAGCTTTGCTGATTTAAAACAATTTACGTTCATTAAAACTAAAAGAAAAATTAACTTCGCTATCATTTTATTCCGCTAAAAGATAACTTTGGTATGAAATAATGTAAAACAATTAAACTTCGATAAATTACCGCTTAACACGGCTTCTTGTGATCACGACTGGTCCTATATAATAAAATAAACTATCTAGTCAACCCAATAGTTTACGCAAACGATAGAAAAAATATAGTTACATAATTATAAACACACATAGTTATTGAATGTGACTATAGAAATTAGTGGAATGAGGAGATTGTCAACATTGAGAAGGAATTTTTATTCAGCAGTGAATAAAAATGATTAATTTATGATACGTTGATGAGCCACCAGGCATGTTGGTGCCTATTAAGAATGTAAATAAAGTATGTGCAACACTTTATTTAGCATGTACTGTCCTATCCCTTAAGAAGTTGTCGCGGAGTACCTAACGGGTTACTGGGGCTCCGGCTCGACGTGCAGGAGAAGGAACGGGGTGGTTTTTAGTCTTTTAGTCAGTAAGAGTCTGACACTCCCTTCTGCCTCACCCTGGCGGGAGCAGTCATTCGATGATTTTTCCACCTTAAAAAAATCCCTTAAGGAGTTAGTATAGTTCAGGGTGACTTGTAACTCGACATATTCCTGGCGGGAGGTGATAATACAACTAATTTCTTATAAAATGAGCCCTAAGGTCTCTGGTCCAAAAGTGGGTAGTTTTTGAGATATACAACATTTTCGGTTTTGGTGAAAAATCCCGATTGAACTACAAAAAACATCAATAACTAACAAACCACTGGCGCTTGATTGAAGTGATTGTAGTTTTAATTTATTATCAATACATCAATAAACATTTATTTATACTAATACTGGCAGAAAAATCATTCGTTTTAATATAGCAAGTCAATTAGTATCAAATTTTGTTTCGAATCATTAATTTGGTCAATAGATAACTGCATTTAGTTTAAAACAATATATTACATCAAGCATACTGTACAGACTATTAAAAAAGCTTCCTTGGTTTATTAGCTACCCAAAAACATTAAATTATTTATAAAATTTTGTTTAATGTGACCTTCCCTATGATGAATACATGCTTATCTCTGTGGCCGTCATGTGTATCTTCAGAAACATGTAGGACAATATTTTCCCAGTATAATATAAAGAAAAGTATTATACTAACTAGACGACGCACGTAGAGGCTTTAAATTTTTTTATGGGATAAGTCGGTAAACTAGCAGACGTATCACCTGATGGTGAGCATTTGAGCAATTGGCGTCGCCCATAGACACTCGAAACACACGAGGCGTTACAAGTGCGTTTCCGGTCTTTTGGGAATTGGGAATTTGAGGATAGTGGGGATTCGGGAATCGGGGAAACTGGAGAGGGGGGAGCAATTAGGCCTCCGCCTGTAATAGTGTTTTTGTTATTTTAGTTAAGCTATTCTGTTCACTATAGGTGTTAATTGTACTAAACCTTAATAACCTAATGATGAGGTCAATAAAAGAATTTAGTTTTTTCATAATACGCAATTACGTCTTTATTTCACTTAAACATAATTATTACCATTATAAGTACATTAAAACATTTATAAATTTGTAACTCATGGTAGCGTTTTATATTTGGCCGATGTATACGCTACGTACTCGGGTGTTTCTTCAAAAAACTTTAACTTTTATTCAACAAATCATTATCTTCCTGCGTTGTTAAGCATCGCGGTAACTTATTAGCATCTGTATTTTATTGCATTGGGTGAGAGCAGTGATATGGCTCAATTTTTTGAAACTAAACTTTGTATTTTAATCAGCAGAATTGTTAACTGTGGCTTAAGGATAATGACGCCGTTAATTTTTTGTTTTTTTTTTGGAGAATCACCACTCCCTGATCGATTTAAAAGCGAACGCAATTATAAAGCGATGATAAGCAAACTCCATGCGATGCAGTGCGACGGAGTAGGCACGTGCATGCGACTCGTTTCTTTTCATTTTTGTTTCCGTCATTATAACCAAACAAAAACTTGACAGCACCACATCCAAATATGATAGTTTGCACGAAAATATTAAACTAACTAATCGCGTCCGCGCGACACCGCTTCACATTTGCTTCTAGATCGCTCACGTAGGACGTAGCATTAGCTTTTACATCAATTAACTATAAAGATGCAAAATTGCAAGAAAATTGTGAGATAAAAATGATTTGTGATAGAACGCAGTTTCAACTAGTCGACGGTATTTAACAATAAATTAATCTTGTAAACGTATTATACCCTGCAGAATAAAGTAGAGTGTCGTCATGTCATTTACTAGACCGGCCAGTTCTGCGGGAGTTTGATGGGCCTGTGAACATTATATTTATTTAATTATTAGGTAATTGCAATATTTATACATCAAATAATTATTGTACATCAAATCTGTTGTTTAATATAACACCGATGAATGCCAATGTTAATCAAAATATCGAAAAAAACTCCACATGCTTAGATATTTATCTAAAATATTTCATAACATAACATCACGCCTCTTATCCCCAAAGGGGTAGGCAGAAGTGCACATTACTGCATTTAATGCCACTGTGCAATGTAACATCCACTTATCACTATTAAATGTTATGAGTCCCATGTAATAGAGGTTGAGCCTATTGCCATATACCGGGCACAATTCCAGACTCCGTGCTACTACTGAGATTTTTTTTTAAATCCGAAGATACTTTGGCCGACCCGGCAATTAAACCCGGGACTCCTTGCCCGGCAGTCGCACTTGCGACCACTCGGCCAACGAGACAGTTGGATGAATCATTAATTGGAAAATACAAAACAATTTTAGATACGAACATTGCGACGTATGTAGGCAGTACCCATTGGCGTTCACAGAAACAGGCATCATTTACATATTTAATGTTGAAAATGGGGCACACTGTGCCCAACGTGGCACAACTTGTTTGACACGCACTGCCACACTATGCTAATTTGGTCGATAACACTGTATTACCATTGACATAAAACGTGTGCTAAACTTCACAAATATTCATTATTGCGACTTCGAAACAAGTAGTTTTACATCAATAAATTAACTTACAAGATCGGCGGCGAGTTGTTGCTACTCTTGTCGATTTTGGTGGACCTGTGAAACAAATAATGCTGTTACTTAAGTGCCATATTTTCATTGGAAGGTCCTAAAGTAAAAGGCAAAAAAAACAGACAATAACTTTGGTACAAATCATACTTACATTGTGCTTCAGGTATGCAGGTCCCGTTGGCGTCTCTTGCATAGTTCTCATTACAGTAACAGTCATCTTTGCATCGAATGTTGACAATGGGGCACGCGGTGCCCAGCGTGGCACAAGTTGTTTGACACGAACTGCCACACTCGTAGTGCTCATTTGGACGATTACATTGTACTGTTATGAAAATAAAAAATATGTTAAACTACAAAAATGTTTATTATGACAACTTCACAATTAATGGAACTCGCTTCATATCAATAAATTAACTTACAAACTTGTCGAGTTCTTCGTGTTCTTGTCGAATTTTGTGGACCTGTAAACCAAATAATGTTGGTACTTACATGTCATATTTTCTTTGTCAAAGTAAAACGCAGAATAATTAGCCGATAACTTTGGTACAAATCATACTTACATTGTGCTTCAGGTATGCAGGTCCCGTTGGCGTCTCTTGCATAGTTCTCATTACAGTAACAGTCATCTTTGCATCGATTGTTGACAATGGGGCACGCGGTGCCCAGCTTGGCACAAGTTGTTTGACACGAACTGCCACACTCGTAGTGCTCATTTGGACGATTACATCGTATTTCCGCTGGAAAAATGCAAATTAATTTATTAAGACACCTTTTTCAGGATCATTTTGTATTTTTTGTACATTGACAAAATTGTAAACAACTTTTAATTAAATTGTTTTCCATGATTAGGAATTGTTAGACATATATTAAAAATGCAACTTATCAAAAAATGCAATAAAAGCAATGTCATGTTGGTCAAACCGAAAATCTAACATGAGACTCGTTACCTACTAGTTACAAAATAAGAAGTCAGACGGCAACAATAAGTAGCGTACTCACAAAGCGTTAATGCATACATATTTTTTTTTATTTTATTTATTCTTTTATGTTCACAATTTTATTATGGCACATAAGGCGAACTTAATGCCATATGGCATTCTCTACCAGTCAACCTTAGGGTTTAAGTAGAAAATCAGCGAAAAAAGAAGGTACGGAGAATAAACTAACAGCAAAGAGTGTGAGAGAGAAAAAAAGAAAATATTAAATAATATAGCTATACATAAACATTATACAATACTAAAGAATATATATAGTCATATGCATAAATTCGTTCTTATCAAAAAAAAAATACCTTCGTCGTTTTATTTAAAAAAAAACAACATTTTTCCGTCTAATTAAATAAGTTCACCAAACAGTCTTCGATAAGAAGTTAAGATATTACGCAAGACATAAAATACCTAGTACAATGTAAAATATATTTTCATTAAAAACATTGTAATAAGCAGGTAATGATCACGAACACCTTGTCAATTTTGTTTTATGTCGCATAGGAAATGAATCCAATGACTACATCAAAGGTCGTATGATAAAGTATATTTTTATACAGTTTATAATATAGTACAGTTGTAGGACATACGGCGTTAACATTTTATGAATAGTTATTATATTTTGCAACTTCAACTAACACACGTAAATGTTTGACGAGGAACTCGACTAGTTTCAAGCCACCCTAGAGGTTCTTATTCATGAGCTGTATTCCGCGACATACGACGCGGTAACTGTTGCGCAGCTACTCTATAATACAGTTACATGAGTAAGCCGTAGAACATTATAATTTTATATGTCTTACAAAAGTTAAAATCCAAACAATTCATGATTGTGAAATTCATCACTGTAAAAGTGATATGGCAACATGGTACCATGTAGAGGTAGACAACAGAAAGGAGTCAAACTTCCTCGTCTATGCCTAACCAAGCCGAATATCTGATACTCTTGATCTGAATATCTGATGACTTCAATCATAATTAATATTATAAATCGAAAAGTGAGTTTGTTTGTTTGTTTGTTCCGCTTTCACGCCGTAACTACTAAACCGATTACTTTGAATTTTTCCAGACGTTAAGTTAGAAGTCTGGATTAAATAATAGAGTACTTTTTATTCCGGAAAATTTTGATATTCTCGAGGAAAAACGAAATCATTGGTATAGATGGCGCTGTGTGTATATGTCACATACTTTTTATCCTTTTGTGACGCGAGCGAAGCCGCGGGTAAAAGCTAGTAGTAATATAATTTAGCCTATGCTGTTTTTTCATCATCGTCATAATTATCACAGCCAGTGATTGTTCACTGCTGGACATAGGCTGCTTTAATGACAAGTCACTTAGCTTGATCTTCAGCTCTTCGCATCCAACCACTGCCACTCATCTTGGGGATATCGTCACTTCACCTAGCTGGAGAGCAGCTTTTCTCGGTATATTTTCATGAGTAACCCGTAATTTTTAGTTAATATAACATGAATCTACATACCTGCTTGAATTCCCGATCTCCAATACATCAGCACAAACCAGGATATTACCAAAGACCTCCACATTTTGACGTCCTTTCCCGTTATAACGCAAGCTACAACTGTTTTGAACATTTATACCTGCTGCAATAGTTTTCATTTATCTATAAACAATTAAACTGTTGAAATATATCAAGTTTTCCAAAATGAATAAGTAAATAAATACATTTTATTTTATCTGTAGGTAAAACGATCGTCACACGTTAGGTAGATACTATAGGAATTTGCGATAGGGGGAGGATTGAACCTCCGGTAACAATTTAAAAATGTTGCATAGCTAAACTAAATAAATATAATGTAGCTGTATGTATGTAGCTAGTAAACAAATATAAGTAACAAAAACAAAATGGTAAATTTTGTTTTTATTTAAGCATACTCGCTATAAATTAATAACAAATTAACAATATAATGGCATTTTTAAATTCATGACGTCACGATTTTTAATGCTCCTAAGTTATAGGCGGAGGCGCAAAATACAATGTATATGGAACAAGCCCGCCACAACCTCCAAAAAACCGCTGCTACTCATGTAAGCCCGGATCTATAGTAGAGACATCGGAACACTGAAGTCCGATGCGCTCCAGGGAAATGAATAACTGTGTTGGATCCCGCAACGAAATCAATCAGAAGATATTATTAGATTAGAAGAAAAAAACAATGACAGGTGCAATATGGCACTCACTAAAACTCCTATAACATTTTACTCAGGGAACCGAATCGGAGGGTCTTGCTCTGAAATCGCATTTTTGATTTTCGTTTACCCAAAGTTATAGATAGAAAAAAATGTCATAACAAGATTTCACTTGTATAAAATTTCTTTTTTTACTTCAATACCGCTAACTAAGGACGCTGAAAAAAAGGAGGACGTAATGTCACTTAGAAGTGATTGAAGTAGCCAAATGCAGGTGGTGTGTCGGTATGGTGGGTTATAGGTGCGTGTAGTTGCAACACCGTAATAAAGTGTAATGATGGGCCATGTCACGCGACAGATGACTGCACGGTTGGTGCGGTGGCTGGGCAACCGGCTGCCGTGCAAAGTGTCGCGAGTTCGATTCCCGCACGGAACAACTCTTTATGTGATCCACAAATTGTTGTTTCGGGTCTGGGTGTCATGTGTATGTAAACTTGTATGTTTGTAAACGCACCCACGACACAGGTGATAATCCTAGTGTGGGGCAACGTTTTTTTAAAAAAAAAAAAGAAAACAAAAGATGTCCTTCGTGTCAATGTTTGTGATGCGTTCTGCGTGTAAGTCTATCGTCTAGTCTATTGTGACCACAGTCGTTGTTTCAAGAGACTGCCGTTTTTTAACATCCTTGTCGCTAAATATGTATGTACTCAGAAACAAATCAACCATTCCTACCAAGGCACTAAAATACAGGCTCAAAAAACAAACATAAACACGCGTGACTTGTAGCTATGCTAGAGTTGAGGGAAAAACATCGAACAAGTTATTAATACAAAAACCAGTTTCAAATTACACTGGTTAAGTTTGAACTTGAAATAAAAATAGACCAGGTAGGATTGATTTTATGAAGTGAGTTCCGTACAGTAGTTATTATTTTAAATAGCATACCGATAAATAACGAAATAAAATTACTTT